AAACTTGCACCTTCTGCTGTGTAGGAATAATTCCATGCTTGAGTTTTTCCCACTGCCTTATCCGATCATAGCTTTGTTCATCGAAAATTTCCTCATATCGTTGTTGTATGTCAAGCCTAAACGTATCTCATTCATATAAACTGCTCCAAAAATTGTACTATGCTTTGGAAACAATTTGACATTCAATAAAACGCACTCCACTAATCACTATGAATTAAGATCTGACTAACACAGTGGATTGTTTTGCCTTACGATTCAAGTGAATGCAGCGAGTGCCATCTGAGAAAATAAGATTCGAAACTGGGAATACCTTTGTGCATGCAAAAACTTCTGTAGATTGCTGTCATGTGCAGGATTAAGAGGCTTGGCACGTATTCGATAACTATCTGGTCCCTCTTCTCCTAGTCCTTTGAGACGACGATTCACCACACAAGTGGTGCGACTATGCACCAAGTCTGCAAGAGATTCACGTAAGCTTAGTACAGAACCATATATAAAGTTAATATAATAGGAACATTGATCACTGCAAAAACCAAAGCAACACTGGATTTCATGTTTGCCCGCTAATTTTTCCGCGCCGAAACGTTTCCGGAGTTTCTGACAGCCGCGAGTAGTCGGCATGTGAATGTGACATGCGACCAAATATTTCGGACCAATAGGCCAGTCCTTGACCATCGGCGAGATAGCGAATAATAAATAGAGACTAACGATACCGAAAATCCCTATAAATTGCTGGCGATTCTCAAGAATAGACACCAGAGCTTCTGTTTAGTGCAATGGCTTTTTCAGCAAATGTGATAATCGCCTGCTTTTCAGTGGGAATCTTGTACCTTGTACAGTTACAGGTCGGTAATTTACTTGATAGAAATTTCAGTTATTATTTTATACCTCACTCAAACTCTATACTAGGCCTGAGCTGGCTTGCTATAAACCATGGCTTTTCACACATCTTTGGTTAAGATGTGATGTATTAATATGTATAATTAACTATCATATCAATGACGCTCCGCCAGTGACCTTAAAAGAGCACTGCCTTTACCTTGCCTTCTTCAAAGGGTGGACCGAAACAAGCAATTATTTTTTAAATCGGAGTGATAAATTCTACTGGATTTTCAAGAACTTTGAAACTGCAGGCACTACCGATTCCAAGCGAAGCTCCTCTTGACAGTTCTGCTATCG